GTGTGGGCGCAGGCCGGGGGCGGGGGTGCAGAGCACGATGCAGACAGCAGGCAGTGCCAGGGGCCAGGGCGAGGGAACCACCCAGGGGAGTGAGATGCTCCTCAAAATAGGATTTTGATAAATGCACTTTCCTTTCTGAGAAAAGCCTGCCACATCAGGCATCTTCTTGTGCCCAAACGCTCACTTGTTCTCTTTTCAGGGCTCTGCAGGGCCCCTTAGGCCCATGCCACGAGATCCTCAACCAGCACCCCCTTTGTGATGCATACTTTTCCTTGACCGCAAATGTCGGTGCATGGAACTGCCGCGTGTCTGGCATGTGAGCCCGGCGATCCTGTGGACAGGGTTGCTGGGCGCCTGTTGGGGTGGGGTGCCACGTGGGGGCCTGGAGCGGCACGCATTGGGCCCCGTGTGTGAGGCTGCACGCGGCTTCCCGTCTGCCCCAGGGGCTCTGCTGCTGGTGCTGTGTGCGCCTTGTCCGGCTCCCCACAGCTCACGCTCATGCCTCTGTTCCTCTTCGGGGCACTCGGCATGCTTCTGGGTCACTTTCTTTCTGGGTTTTGGAAGGCTTTAGGTCCACCAGGACCAATGTGATCCATCTCACCAGGGGCCCCAGGGGTGGGGCCTGGCAGCGGCAGCTCACAGCCCTTGCCCCCGTGGGGCAGCGTGGTGCTTCGTGATGGAGCAGACCCGCAGAGCACACCCCTTGGTGGGGCACTGGCCTGGGACCGCCTGTCTGAGAGCAGCATGAGAAGCTTGGGGTGCTTGCAGGGTGGGTGCCGAGGGCTGCGGGGCATGGGGGTGGAGGGTGGAGGGGATCTTAGGGATGTGGGTGCCCGTCCCACTGAGGGAGGGCCTGGATGTGTGCCCACAGCCCCCCAGTCTTGCCCTCCACCGTGCTCTCTCCAGGAGCACTGTCACCGTTAAGTTTGTTAATTTTAAAAAAGATTCCCCCTTAATTCTCAGGGGACACCAGAGGCCACCGAAGCATTGTGATGCCCCTGCCGTGGCCCGGCTCGTTCCTGTTACCCCAGGCAGCACGGCAGTCCGTGTGTCACCCCTGCTCTGGACTCCTCTGCGGCCTGTGCTTTGCCGGTGTCACAGGGAAGGCACCCCATCCCTCCTGAGCGTGGGGTGCAAGGCTGGGACGTAGGTGTGGCTGGTCCGGTGGAGCGAGGGCCAGGCGGGCTGGCGTGCAGGCCTGGAGAGTTGGGTGGAGCACCAGAGTGGAGACTCCGTGGCAGACGGGTCAGTGGGCAGGAGTGTGCGGGTTGTGAGCCATAATCCCGTTTTGCAAGCTTCGAAGGTGATGCCGTTCTCGGAGAAGTCCAGCCCCCCTGGAGTGCAGGAAGTCCATGCTGTCTGCTCAGGCGCTGTGCCGTCTGCAGAGCAGTTAGAATCCACTTCACGTTTGGAAGCCGTGTCTGTCGGCACTGCTGTGTGCAGGCACACGGGTTCGGTGCCTCACCCAGACAAAGCAAATAGACCCGAAGCAAAGTCCACAGTGAGGGTTGGGTAGTCCCATGTGTCACAGAGAAAAGAGTCTGGGAAGGGGTGTGCCCATTTATAGGCTGAGCAGAGACGGGTCCATTGAAGGTGATGTGTGAGCCAGGAGCTGAAGGGGGCGGGAGGAAAACCATTCCAGCTGAGAATGGGGCATGTGCAAAGGTCCTGGGGCCTATAGCTGGAGGGGCGTCTTTGGGGGGGGTGTGGCAGGAGATGAGGCCTATAGGGGTGGTAAACTGTGGTTCTGCACTGAGGGGATGGGTCCCTGTGGCGCATTGTGCCCAGAAGACAGAAGGAGCTGGAGGGCTGAGGCGGCCTGGGGCCTGGAGCCAGGAGGGAGCAGTGCAGAACCCAGGAGAGGGTGGGCTGTGGGCAGGGCTGTGGGCAGGGGGCCAGAGGTAGGAGCAGGGCCGTAGGGTTAGGGTGCTGAGCCATGTTGTGTAGGCAGTCTGCAGAGGCAGGCGCTAGGGGCACGAGCGTGGCGTTCCCAGTGGGGAGGTGGCACGTGGTCACGGAGGAAGCCCTCAGCCCTGCCTGCGGCGGAGGTAGCGGGCCCCACACCGGAGTCTCCTGGCTTCCCAGCTCGGGGTCCAAGGACGGCAGGTCCCTGGGCTACAGAGACCGGGAAGAGCGGCTGCGAGGGGGCAGGCCTCAGGTGACAGCCCTGCGGGAGGGCGGGCTCCGTGCCCCCAGCGCCTTGGACAGGTGTGTGCCCTCGCCACACGCCGCGCTCCGTCCGCGGACAGTCTGCGCCTTCTGTAGGAATGTGTGTTGTCGGAGGTTTAAGGCTCACCCGCAGGTGACTGTTGCCTGAGGAGACGGGGCGGTTTGAGAGGGTGCGTGTGTCTGGGGTCGACGCGCCTGTCCGCGTGAGGTACGGGGTCTGTGGTGGATGCCGTGCGCGCTGCCGGCCGTCGTTCACGTGGCTGCGCTGGAGGCTCTGTAACTTCGCTGTGTCCTGGTGGCGGTCCCTCCGCGGGGTTTCCTGATCGCGCAGCTTCTGCCTCGGCGCCACGGCCGCGGTGGGCGCCGCGGTGGGCTCGGGGGGCGGCGGGGTGCAGCATTTACAGCTCCACGGTGATGTGAATCTCATGGTCTCTTTTAGGGCAGCTGGTGGAATTTTTAAAGCGAATGGAACCTAGAGGCCCGCTCTCGTGCGACACCGTCCTGAAGATATTCTATCAGACGTGCAGGGCAGTGCAGCACATGCACAGACAGAAGCCGCCCATCATCCACCGAGACCTCAAGGTACCGCCTCCTGCCCGTCCTCGGGCTGCACCCGCCCCCAGCCAGGGTGTCCAGCTGGCCGGCACTGAAGTCTGCGATGGCTTTCCCAAAAGAGGGATGCAGTTGCTTCTCAACGTCAGAGCAGGTTTCTGGAAGCTCCTCCACCGAGGCAGTGCCGAGCACGCTTTCCGTATCACTCAGCTTTGCGGTCTCCTGGGCCTGGGGCTTCATGCCGCCGGTGTGCCCGTCACCCCACCCGCCTGCCCTTCTGCTGGCCCTGGGATGCTCTCGGCTCCCTTCCCTCCACCCGCTGGCCCAGGAGGGGGACTGCTCCTCCTCTGGGTCGTCCGTGCCCTCGCCCCTCGACGATCCGTCCGCGGGCAGAGGCTCTGCAGGGCTCCTGTGCTGCCTCAGGCGGCTTTCCCTCAGTGCCACGGCGAGGTGCCCACTGCCGCCGTACTTGGAGCTGCCCGCTGGGGGAGTGGCAGCCTGGTCTTGATTTTCCCTTTTCCGGACCCTCGATGAAATGGAATGGTTTTTGCTGTGTTGGTAGTCAGTACCTTCTTCAATACACTTGTTTTTGCCCTTTTTTTCCTGTTTTTTGTCTGTCAGGTTGTGTTTGATTAGCAGGAGCCCCTCGGTTCTTCTAGTGGCCTTTCCACGTAGTATGTGCTGCAGGTGCCTTTTCCTGGTTTATGGCCCCCTTTTTATTTCCCCTGTCGTATCTTTGGAAAAGTCAAGACTTGGTGAAACTTACCGGGCATCCACGCAGCTCACATCCTGCTTCTGACCGTGTCTTGAGGGAGCAGGTTGTGTTTGCTGAAGAACCTTATGATCCCTTAATACCATCTCTGGTCCAGTCTGTGGCCAGCTTCCCCAGATTTTCCTTCAAGTGTGATGTGCCTCCACCTGGTGGGCCTGGAACAGCGCCCTCCCCTCCTTGGAGCTGGTGGGGCGGGGCAGGACGGGGTTCTCCCGTGTGCCCGGGGAGACCCTGGCACCCTGATGTTTAGACTTGAACCCTGGACAAGCCTCGCCTTTTCCTTTCGTCCCTTGAACCCAAGAGGTTGGCAGGTCCGTTGTCCCCCCCCCCAGCCCCCCCTC